TTAAGATTGGGTAACCAGGGAGCAATAGCACAGCAAGTAGGGCTTTTGCCTTGCACGCGGCCAACCCGAGTTCGATTCCCAGCATCCCGTATGGTCCCCTGAGCACCGCCAGGGGTGATTCTTGAGTGCAGAGCCAGGAGTAACCTCTGTGCATCTCTGGGTGTGACTCAAAAAACAAAACAAAAAAACGATTGGGTAACCATTTTATTTTTTTCAAAAATACTTTCCCTTTCCTTGTGAATGCTAAAGTTGATTGGCCACTATGACTACATTATTGCTCACCAATAATTTTCAGGTCAATAATTTTGTGACTTCAAAAGGTGTCATATGTCCATTTTTCAGAACCTGGCTTCTTATGTGTTATACTGACCTATATTTAGATACTCCCAGATGTAGTTGTAAAAAATTAAATAGTTGTAACTGTTCTTGACCTTCTCTGGAAGTTTCTTTCACCAAATACTAGCAGATCTAAACCACTATTTGTGCTCTCTTGAGTGCTATAGTTAACTGATCTCTTTTTATTACTCATGTACCCATATTTATGATGCTGGGGATCAAACTCTGGCCCTAAAACACTGAGCTGCACCCCACACACACACACACACACACTATTTTTTCTTTCTTTTATGGGTCACCCGACGATGCACAAGGGTTACTCCTGGCTAAAGCACTCAAGAATTACTCCTGGGTGTGCTTGAGGGACCATATAGGCTGCTGGGAATCGAACCGGGGTCGGGTCGGCCATGCATGTGCAAGGCAAATGCCCTACCCTCTGTGCTATCACTCCAGCCCCCCCCCACACTATATTTGAAATTTTATACAGTAAACTCTATTGCTCTTTTCCCTGCTTGCCTTCTCTTCACGGTGCTTTCTCTTACATCTATGATTAATAATGTCAGAAAAGCTGACATAGGTGAAGGCAACTATTCACTCTTAACCCTTGATTAATTTTTTGTGGGCCATTTTTATTTATTCATTAACTGGTACAATTTATCCATAAACACCATTATTAGTTTGCATCTGACTGCAAAGTTGACTCTCAATTACTGAGGACCAGTTAACTAAGCTATGTGAATCTCCTACAGTGTGCTTTTCGGGGGGCTCCTGGGGATGGGGGATGGTGCTTGGGGCCACATCTGACATGATCAGGGAATTAGTCCTTGCTCTGCTCAGTAGTGACCCCTGGTGGTACTTGGAGCACATGTGGTGCTGGAAATTAGAACCTGGGTCAGTGCAAGCAAGGCAAGTGACTTAACCCTGGTACTATCTCTTTGTCTCTACAGTCTTTTGGCCATTTCAGTTACCCACTGAATTTAGACTGTAGAGATTTCCAGCAAAAATTTGTGAAGCCAAGTTTATTCAGTTGTGCTCCATATGAACAGTTAGTAAAGCCTGTCACTGTCACTGTCAACTGTCCTCCGTTGTTCATCAATTTGCTTGAGTGGACCCAGTAACGTCTCCTTTGGAGACTTTGTTGTTACTGTGTTTGGCATATCGAATACGTCACGGGGAGCTTGCCAGGCTCTGCCGTGCGGGCGAGATACTCTCGGTAGCTTGCCGGGCTCTCCGAGAGGGATGGAGGAATCGAACTCGGGTCGACCATGTTGGCTGCGTGCAAGACAACCGCTCTACCCGCTGAGCTATTGCTCTAGCCCAGTAAAGCCTGATGGAAACTAAAATTGTACATTTACAGTGTGCTTTGGACAAAAATATATATGCATGGTGATGGTATACAGTTTAATATAGCAAACTGACATTGTAATATATAAATAGTAAATTAGTGATAAAACTGAGGAATTATTAATGTCAGTAAAAGTTTAAAGTACTATTTTTCTGATATTAAAATCAAGTCAACAAATTATGTCCAAATGTCAACAATGTTAGAAAATATTTTGTCTTCCACCTCTAGACAAGAACTGATAGAAAATGGAGGCTTCAATTATAGTATAAGTGATCGAAAATATTTTGCATTCTTCCAACAATAATTGTAGTTGACTGGATATTATTGCTGTAACTAGATTTAGGAAGACATACTGGTTGATTTATCATGAGATATACTTTTAATTTTTATACTAATTTTAGGAATAACTAATTTTAAACAATAAGTCTTTGTTGATATTTCTAAAATGTGTCTTTAACTTAGACATATTTTTGAGACAGTTTATAGTTGAATTGTATTATTGTTCAAAGTTGTTTTGGAATTCTTTGACCAATAGATGGTGTCTCCGAAAATCATACTCTTACAAAATTCTAACTATTTGCTCTTCATTTTTAGCCACTCAATCATTAGTCTAAAAACAGTTAAGAATCCTCATTTTAGGATCCTCCCAGGATGGGAGAAGCATGCTGAAAGTAGACTATAGACCAAACATGATTGCCACTCAATGCCTCTTTTGCAAACCACAACACCCCAAAGGAGAGAGAGAACACAAGGGAATGCCTTTCCACAGAGTCAGGGTATGGTGGGGGGATGGGGGGTGGGAGGGATACTGGAACCTGTGGTGGTTGAAAATGGACACTGGTGGAGGGATGGGCACTTGATCATTGTATAACTGAAACCCAAGCACAAAAATTTGTAAGCCTACAACTGTACCTCATGGTGTTTCACTAATAAAAATTTTAAAAATCCTCATTTTAGTAATTGTTGAAAATAACATACTAGTGAACATTTTCATATTGGTTTCTAAAGTCAAACTTTTTCTACTTGTGACATCTTACTACAACATTAGAGTCATATCAGTAGACTTTACATATCATTGGCACTTCACTCCAGAAATTGGTAGAGTGCTTTTTTTAAACCCATAAAGTATAGTTTTGTAACATTTTTTGCAAGTGACTAAGTGGTAAATGATTTAGACTTTGAAGGACAAGAAGAACAAAGTTGAGAATATAGGGTATTGACTGAAGAGATAGTACAAGGGGTTAGATGATTAGGTGCACATAGTTGACCCCAGTTTGATCGTTAGCGCTGCATATAGTCTCCAAGCACAGAGGTAAGAGTAGACCTTAAGCACCTCTGGGTATGCGCCATATCCCCTTACTCCACCCACATATAAAGAGAATATAAGACAGGTAATTTTATAGCACAAGAGAAAACAGATATCCAAAACTGTTTGAAATACAACTCTACTGATAAGTAGAGCAGAATTTGTTTATGAACACTAGTATGTGAATTTCATACATTTCTCATATGTTATGAAATAGTTTTCATATTTTTACTTTACCCTCACCATTTGAAATATGTAAAAAAAACATTCTTAACATTCTGATCCTACAAAAAGAGGGGTGGGGGTCAGATTTTAAGCTCAGAGATTTTTTGATCAAAAACAAGGTTGGCCAAATTTTAGTTCAGATTTTTTTTCTGATCCTTACTAGAGAATACAGGTTCTGAAATGGCAAGTAGTTCAGTTCACGACCCTACACTGGGATGAGTTTCACAAGGTCCTTCTACTTTCTGAGATCACTCGCTATATTATTGTGCCTACAGGACTTCTTTCAGGGAAAGTGTCTATCGCATTCATCTGTCTGATTCTCAGAGCTGTCCAGGATTAAAAAGATGAGGCATTTTATTCATTTTAGGGAGGTATTTCCTAAAGTCCTTGATAATTTCTAGGTACTTTGTAAGTTACTGGGAGCTCATGGGAATTTTTTGCTCTAGTTGTTATTTACTGTTAGAGATACTGACACTGAGGGAAAAGAAGTTGAGGTGATCCTTTATTTATAAAATCAGTTCTCTCTATTGTTTTGGATTTTTTTTGAGGGGAGGCGGTTTGCACGCCCAGCAGTTCTCAGGGTTTACTCCTAGCTCTATGCTCAGGCCCTGGGAAATCAAATGCATGCGATACTGGGAATTCAATATACGTTGGAACTGTGCAGGGCAAGCACCCTACCTGTTGTACTAATCATTCCATTCCAGTTGTCTCTTTCTTTTTCTTTTTTTATTAGTGAAACACCATGAGGTACAGTTATAGGCTTACAAATTTTGTGCTTGGGTTTCAGTTATACAATGATCAAGTGCCCATCCCTCCACCAGTGCCCGTCATCCATCACCACGGGTCCCAGCATCCCCCCCCACCCCCCATTCCCCCGTCCCATCCTGCCTCTGTGGCAGGGTATTCCCCCTTGTTCTCTCTCTCTTCTTTTGGGTACTGTGTTTTGCAAGAGAGGCATTGAGTGGCAATCATGTTTGGTCTATAGACTACTTTTAGCATGCTTCTCCCACCTTGGGAGGGTCCTCACAACACCCTTCATTTGGTGCTCTCTTCTCTATCTGAGCTTCCTTTTCACCTAGAACGTGTGGCTGGCCTTCCATTCATGGAGCAAAACTTTTGAAATGTTTTTTTTTGTATTTGGGGAAAGAATGGTTCTAGAAAGTAAAGCTCCATGTTTTCAGGTATTTAAAACATTGCTGAGGGAGTTATTCAGAATGAATAGCTGAAACATAGGTAAGTGTCATTCCAGGCAATAAAGAGAAATCAGCTTCAAACTGCGAGAAAATGTGTTTCTTTTTAAATAAAGATTATCTCTGGGCCAGAGCAATAGTAAAGCAGGTAGAATGTTTGTCTTGCACGTGGCCAACCTGAGTTCAATCCTCAGCACCACACATGGGCCTCAGAGCCCATCCAAGGAGTGATTTCCACAGAGCCAGTAGTAAGCCTTGTGGCCTAAAAACCAAAAAAAAAATAATACTAAAGATTACCTCAGAGATCAGTTCACATCATGGGCTCCAGTATTGGTAGAGAGAGGATTAAAATTGTTTACTAAAGCTGAACACGGGTTCTTGCGTGCTACTTAACAGGTGATTGTTAGTGAAAGTTAAACCTTGAGTTTTTCTAAACCTTGGGGCTGAGGTGTTGAGAAAACATATGTCCATTTGAAAGAAGGAACTGAAAAAAATCTACAAAAATCTACGACTTAGGCTTTCTTAAGCCATCTTGTGTCAAAAAGGAAGACTCTGCTTAACTCTAACCCTCTTTCCCCCCCCTCTTTTGAACACACAGACTTCTTTTCCAGTGGCTCCATCACTTGCAGTGAATCCTGCCGTGGCTTTTGGTCCTTATATGCCTCATCCTGGGATGGGCCTGGTTCCTGCTGAGCTTCTACCGAACACACCTGTTCTGTTTCCTGGCAATGCGCCTCTCCCAGTGGCAGGAGCACCTGGCATAAAACCAATGCGTTCGGATAAACTGGAGGTAGTTATGTAGAAATGTAGAAATTTTTAGTAAATTTGCTTTAGGAAATTGAGCAAAATGACCTGAGACTTTAGTGACAAAATTATGGAAATGACTGCAAGGTAGATATTAATTTCATGTGCACCAAGATCATCAATAAATGCTAAATGTGTGAGAACTTGATATAAGAATATTTGTATTTAAAATTCATACCCAAAGCATCCTTCTCAGAGCCAGATACTGTCCTAGATTTTTAGCTTAAGGATTATATACCTTTGGGAAAGTGTTAATGATGTTGCTACAACAATGATATCTGCTATGATGTGCATTGGTTCTTTTGTATAGAAAGTTGAAGAAAATCTTGAAACGCCCAGATATTGACTATGCCACTCCTTTGCTGCAGCACAGGCAATTGTGGGAGCTCTCCTTTTATCCAGGCTAGCTTTGCAGACTGGGGTTACTCTGTTAGTGAATCTATACTTGCTCAAATAAACTGTAAAAAAAAGGAGACGAATTTATTTCCTGTAAGTGGAGAATGTAAATGAATCACATGATGTTGCAACCTTTCTTCTATTTTAAGGTGTGCTACATAATAATATCTCTTGATACCTAAGAAAATAAATTTCAGCAAGTTTTTTGATTTACGGAAGTTCTCCAGCCTTCCCTTAACTGCTGCTCTTTATAAATGGAAATAAATAAATAGTTCATTTCTTATAAAATCAGGCCCCATTGGCAGTTCCTTAAATGTGTAGTAATATACTGTAATGTAATTATGAAACTCAGTTATGGTCCATAAACTGGCTGTGGATGACTACATTGCTATGTGATAAAGACTCATCTTGGATCATCATAAAATAAACGCTTCTTGCAAACTTAATTAATAATGCTTTAGGTTGTATATTAAGTGGAGGATTCAAAACTGCTTTGCAATGATACTTCTAAGGCATTTTACTTCAATATAAGGTAAATATACTTTAGGAAAGTGAGTAAAATCAACAGACTTTTGTTTGGAGGGAATGGAATTTTATTTTTCTAAGACTATAAACATTATCTCTGTTTACATTTCAGTAAATCTGAGTTTACATTATTGCCAGCTTTTTAGATTTTCCCTTAATCAATGACAAAATAATGGGTTCATTTGCTTCTACATTCACTGCAAAATTAATCAAGGATGATCACTTTCCAATCATCAATGTGATGCTTTTCTTTTTTTTTCCTGTAAGGTTTGCCGAGAATTTCAGCGTGGAAATTGTACCCGTGGTGAGAACGATTGCCGCTATGCTCACCCCAGAGATGCATCCATGATTGATATAAGCGATAATACTGTGACAATCTGCATGGATTACATCAAAGGCCGATGCTCCCGGGAGAAATGCAAGTACTTTCATCCTCCTGCACATCTGCAAGCCAAACTCAAGGCGGCCCATCATCAGATGAACCACGCTGCTGCTGGAATGGTAAGAACAGACTGGGATTTGCAGATCTTCTGTTTTGGAACAAATGATTAGTATGTTCTTCAATTTGTCTACTGTCCTATACCCCTAGTCATAAATGAACCTTAATATCTACATTTAAGGTTAAAATCCAGAGAAGACAGAAACTAGCACTGTAGCGCTGCAGCACTGTCCTCCCGTTGTTTATCGATTTGCTTGAGCGGGTACCAGTAACGTCTCCATTGTGAGACTTGTTACTGTTTTGGCATATCGAATACATCACGGGTAGCTTGCTAGGCTTTGCTGAGCGAGCGGAATGCTATCAGTAGCTTGCCAGGCTCTCTGAGAGGGGTGGAGGAATCGAACCCAGATGGGCCGCATGGAAGGCAAACACCCTACCCACGCGGCCAATCCGGGTTTGATTCCCAGCCTCCTATATGGTCGCCTGAACACCGCCAGGAGTAATTTCTGATGCATGGGCCAGGAGTAACTCCTGTGCATCACTGGGTATGACCCAAGAAGCAAAATAATAATAATAATAATAATAAGACTTCAGGCCACATGGCAGCAGTGGAGAATGGCCACCCCTTCCCGTCTCCCTGCCCACTTGGGTTCCTGGCTGTCACGCCCATGAACTGTGTCTGGGCACCATCTCGGCCTTAATCCAGAGACTCCTGAATGAAGAGAGAAACTATGAAAAATACAGAGAATAGAGAAACTATTGATTTTACTTTATTCACTCAATTTCCTTAAGAGATTTCTTTTAAAAGATGTATTGATGACTTTAATCAACTGTGCTTTCCCTTCAGCTTTTAGAGATAGTACTGTATGATTGAAATAGCAAGGTACTTCTGAGTGGCTTTTATAGCCTAACTCACCATAATATCCTAAAAAAAGTTGCTCTTTGAGACAACTTCTTGAGCATTTTACTAATAAGATCCTAATCAAAGCAGAGAACTTGGAAGATAGAACATTAAATTGCTTTGAATTTCTGAAGCAGTAAGTCTCTCACAGTCTCTCTCTCTCTTTCTTGCTCTGGTTCTCACTCTCTCTTTTGCCTGGTGGAGTGGTTTTAAGGACAAATGCAGTAACAGTAGCCAGCAAAGGTGGGGATGGGGCCAGGTTGGGGGTATTTTCTATGTGATTGTGAGAAGAGGTTGTCAAGTTGACCTTGCAAGTCATACTTGGGGGAAAGTTAGTTCATCTTGAAATCGAACCATCGGAGACAGGAAAATAATTTGTGTACCACTACAGTGTAATAGGTAGAAAACCAGGAATTTTGACTTCTTGATTTTTGTCCTGAATGTTAATTATTTTTACAGGCTGCTTGCTAGTTCTTTTTTCTTTTGTGCCTCTCCTTTTGTAATAGAGTTATAACACCCCCAGTAAGGAACAAAGTCCAAAGGAAATCTCATAATGGGGGCATGGTGGGGGGAAGTCACCTATATGACTAAAGCCTATGAGATTTCTCCCTGTTTCATACGAGAGACACATTTATTTTCAAATGTTCCTGTTCATCAAGGTTTTCTTCCTTTGTTAGTTGAAATGGGCCTCTCTGTCCTGTAACAATTATTTTATTAAAAAACAAACAAGGAAATCCCTATTCCATATGAATATAGTCTTCATGGGTTTTTTGAGACAAATATTCCACATTGTCCCAAGTTTTACTCACAGATAAAAGGACCCTGTACCAGTTTTTTTTTCTTCTTTTTCAAGATTCCTGTTTTCTCAGAACAAAAGCCATTCTTTTTTTTTTTAAATTTTTATTAGTGAAACACCATGAGGTACAGTTGTAGACTTACAAATTTTTGTGCTTGGGTTTCAATTATACAATGATCAAATACCCATCCCTCCACCAGTGCCCATTTCCCACCACCACGGATCCCAGTATCCCTCCCACCCCCCATCCCTCCACAAAAGCCATTCTTTGATAAAATATTTGAGCCCTAGTCTGGAGAAATAGTACAGTGGGTAGGAGACAGCCATCTCCGGCACCCTGAGCACTGCTAGGAGTGATCCCTGAGTGCAGATCCAAGAGTAAGCACTGACAGCATTAGGTGTGGTGCCCTGTTCCCCCCCCAAACAAAAACAAACAAAAAAAGGTTGAGCATCTGTGCTATTGCTCTAGCCCCCGAAAAAATATAATAAAGCCAAATTGATTTTCTCCTTCACTACTTAGCATACTATGTTAATGAATATTCCAAAAGACTTCATCAAAATCTTTTTGTCTCAGATTTTTTGAATGAGGGAATTTTAGGTTATTAAAAAATAAGAATGTTCAAAGCAGAACGTAAGCCTCCAGTTTGGGGAATTTCTCTTTTGGTGTATGGTAGAGAGTTCAGAAACAGCGTGAACCATTATAAAGGAGAAGAATACAACTGGTCCCCTACAGATAAAGGTTCCTTAGGCCAGAGCAGTAGTAAAACAGTTTGGGCTCCCTGGCACTCAACCAAGCCCAGGCTCAGCATCCAATATGGTTCCCTGAGCATTCCCAGGAGTAATCACTGAGCAGAGACCCAGGAGTAAACCCCGAGCACCACCAGATGTAACCTCCAAACCAAAAAATAATAAAGGTTCACATATTCTGTGATTCTGTGATTTACAATGAATGAATTGCTTGTGTCTTTATGGACCTCTCCCATATGAAGGCATGGAACTTACATATGTGTGTTCCCATTTCTGATCTTTTGGGTATGTTTGGTAAAATGCTTTAGTTCAGTCATCTCCATATTTTCACATGCATAATTAAGCAGTATGTCTAATAGGCCTTCATACTTGTGATTGTTGGTGTCAGATTTCTAAGTAGCTGATCAAAGCAGACTCTTAGTGGGAAGGTCAAATGGATGCATAGTAATTTGCTTGAGGTAAGATTAAACAACCAGGACTTTATGAAGAAGTTTAAGGATTTTTTTTAAAAAAATTGAAGGATTCAGTTGAAATGCTTTGTTAATGAGAAGTTTACCCTGTTTTTGGCCATGTGTATGTGGCTCAGCTTGATTTTGCTGAAGGCCAATATGCATTTAATCAAAGTCTTTGAAGAGTTGGTAGTTGATTACTGAAAGAAAACAGTGATAGATAACTTTAGGCCTTCATTAGCTATGGAAATAAGGTCAGGGCATACCCCTTTTTGAGCTTGGAAGGCTAGTTACTCTACACAAGTGATCTTGTCTCCTTAAAAACTTGAAGCATACCTAATTGTTATTGCTAGGACATATTATACAGCAGTGTATAGTTTGTTGAAGAAAGGCAAATGTAAAGTAATGTCAATGAATCTGATCCCTGGGCAAGTTTGAGTATTCTTATAAGCACAGCTGAATTTTGAAGGTATTGTAAACATAAAGGGAATATTTTAAAATGCTGATTCCTTTTAAAATTAAACCATAAACAGACTTATTGCAAGTGGTACATGTTGAAATGCACCTCAAGCCTCTGAGAATTGCATACATTTTGCTATTTATGCTAAGTGTAAAGTGTGGAGACAGATAATTCATTTGTGCTTTACTTAGTTTAGTTGGGAAACACAGACTATTTGAACATAAAGTTCTTTATATGAATTGTATTATGTTTTATGGAACTACTGGATGTTTTATCACCAGCACATTGTTAATATCCTCAGTCCATATCAGAATTTTAACTGGCAGAAATTTCTCTTCTGCTGTATCTATTGCTTCAACTAGTATTATTTTAATAGTTGAATAAATTAGTATTTCTAAAATGTTAATTTTACAAGATTGTTTGCTATTAATAATTTCTGTCACATTCTTCCCAAGTCATGAAGGATCATTTTATTTGTCTAAATGATTGCAATTGAAATATATGTTAATTTTCTGTTTGGGACTAAGAATTGCTTCACTGGTATCGTTGGTTGCCTGGCTGTGGGGCCATTGTGGGGCATAGCCCAGGCTATGCCTCGTCTAACTGGTACTTGTTTGGCTTGAATACCGTATTTCACTTTCTTTGCTACTATTTAGTAATCCATCCTCTCATAGGCCCTACCACCTGGTGCCCTTCAGCTGATACCAAAGAGATCAACACTTGACAAAGCCAATGGTGCCACTCCAGTCTTTAATCCCAGTGTTTTCCACTGCCAACAGGCTCTGACCAACCTGCAGCTCCCGCCGCCACCGCCGCCGCCGGCATTTATCCCTGCAGGTAAGAACTAGGCTTGGAAAAATGTGAGTTTAATGATTTTGTGAATATATACAGTGCCCACTGATTTCTCTGTAAGCTTCCGTGTAAGGAATGCCCACGGGTATTTTGATTAGCATTCAGGCAATCAGGAATACCTAATCTGCTAACATTTAGAGTAAAAACTGGTTTTCTTCTGTGAAAATTTTTACTTTTTCATTGTCTTATAACTAATTTACAATATTATGACATGTCAAGGGTTTAGCTTCAAACCTCTCTATATAAATGGTCACCACAACCACCACCAAAATTCAAGTGACATCCCTGAACAAGTATGACCTCTCTTTTTTTTTTCCATTTTTTCCCCCTTTATTTTATTTTATTTTTTTTTTAAGTTGTAGATTTACAATTTTTTGTGCTTTGGTTTCAATTATACAATGATCAGATACCCGTCCCTCCACCAGTGCCCATTTTCCACCACCATGAATAATATCCCTCCCACCCCCATCCCCCATCCCCCCTGTCTCTGTGGCAGGGCAATCCCCTGTGTTCTCTCTCTCCTTTTGGGTGTTGTGGTCTGCAAAAGAGGCATTGAGTGGCAAACATGTTCAGTCCATAGAAGTATGACCTCTCTTACTCGTCCACATGCCCTTACCTTTCCATCTGGCAGTCAACATAGTACTTTTTTTTCCCTTTTAATTATTTTTATTACAGTTTAGGTAAGATGATTAAAGTAGTGTTAGTTTATGGCATCAATGCATAAAGTTACTGCTCCCACCAACCCCAAAGGACCCAAGACCCTCCACCACTGTCCCTATGTCACCTCTGATTTGACCTTAATTTCCCCTACCGCCCAACCCCCACTGCTTGCTGATTGGCTTTGTACTCCAAGACCAGGTGTACATCATTTTTCATTATTGTCTGTTCTTACTGAGCCAAGGAGTTCATTTTACTGTTTGTTGTCAGTTATTTCAGTAATTCATATTCCACATGAGTGAAACCATCTGGTCACTGCCTTTCAGTTCCTTACATAATCACCTCAAAGTCCATCCATTTTGTCCCAGTGGGCACAGTTTCCTATTTTCTTTTTTGGTTTGTTTTGTTTTGGGGCCTCCCCAAGCTGTGCTCAGGGTTTACTCCTGACTCTGCACTTGGGAATCACTCCTGGTCAGTTTAGGGGATCATATGTGGTGCCAGGAATCGAACCTGGGTTGGCCACGTGCAAGGCAAGTGCTCTACCCACTGTACTAGTACTATTACTCCGGCTCCAGTTTTCTCTTTTTTAATGCTAGAATATTATTCCATTGAGTGTATATATGTGTTTGTGTCTGTGTGTGCATGTGCATGCACATATATCGTGGTCATTCAGGTTGGCTGCATGTTTAGGTGATTGTGAATCATGTTGCTATGAACCTAGGGGGACAGAAATCCCTTTGAATTACTGTTTTTTCATGTCATTTGAATAAATGACTAGGAATGGTATCACTAGATCATATAAGTTTCCATATTTAATTTTTATGGAACAAACTGGTTTTCTGTGATTTCTGAAAAGTAGTGGTTTTAAATCAAAGTAGGAGAAGTGGTCAACATTTCTCTTTTTAGCATTTTCTAATGTTTGCTTTGTGTGATCAAATCATTTGATTCGATCTCAAACTAATTCCTTGACTCTTAGGTATCACTTCTCACATTTGCCCTTTAAATCCACCTCTCAGCATTGCAGAAATGTGTATTTGCTATTCCGAGGGTAATGGCAATAAAATTGCCCTTAAATTTGTATTATACTGCAGTATAGTAGATATAAAGCAAATAGTTTTATCCTCTAAACCCATAAACTACTTAATAGAAAAAAATAGGAATTACATTATATTTCCCTAACCCTTTTTTATTTTGTTGACTTCTGCATTTAACTATATTTACTAGCATAACATTTTTGCACTAAATTGTATAGAAAAATTTAAGCCAGAATTTTATTGAAACACATGTTATATATGAGAATTAATAATTTTCTCTCCATGGCTCATTCCTTTGAGAATCAGTGTATAGCCTCTTAGGAATAAAACAAAAATCCCTACTACTGGGAGTACAATAGATTTTTTGCAAATAAATTCTCTAGCATGGAGAATATTATTTAATGAAAATAAATATGGTTTAAAAATTAACTTATAAACTTTTATTAATGTTATAAACTAACTAACCACATAGTATTGGACACCTAGAATTGAAAAGAACCTTGATGGTTAATTGATAACTCGTAAAATAATTATTTGATTACTTTTGAAAAGTCATTAAAACAGGATTTTTTGTATTAACTAGCACAAATAATTCTTCAGGATATCAATTACAATACCCAGTTTTCCTAATAATTTCAGACTTCTTTGTTTAATTTGGCCCATTTAAAGTGTACATTTATAAACAAAAACGTTAGAAATATTTTTTCCCATTTAGTTTATTATGAACCTCTTATGTTGAAAGCCTATCACAATGAAAAGCTTATTTGCCTTATGTTCATGGTCAAGTTCTTGGTTATAAAAGGGAACAGTTGGGGCTGGAGCTATAGCACAGCAGGTAGGGCGTTTGCCTTGCACGCAGCCAACATGGCCGACACAGGTTCGATTCCCAGCATCCCATATGGTCCCCCGCGCACCGCCAGGAGCAATTCCTGAGTGCATGAGCCAGGAGTAACCCCTGTGCATCGCCGGGTGTGACCCAAAAAGCAAAAAAAAAAAGGGAACAGTAGTATTTAGTATTAATACTTATATTATTAATCTAAAGAGAGCCTTGGTACCAGAATCCAGATCCTTCTGTATAAATTAAAATTCTTCATGACAGAATTTCCTTAGGATGCATTCATCCATAATAAATATATAATAGAAGTAAGGTGACTCTTTTAAAAACCTTTGGGCCAGAAACATAGTACAGTGAGAAAGAGACTTCCTTGTTCAATCGCCAGCACCATGTATGGTCTCCCGAGCCTCACTGGAAGTATTCCCTGAGCAAAGAACCAGGAGTAAACCCTGAGAACCACTGGGTATGGCCCCCCCAAACCAATTTTTTCTTTTATACCTAAGAATCTAAGAATTACTTTGATATCTTTAGTTTATGACCTCAAAAATAAACTGCAGTTATAAACATTGGAAATACCTGGGTTTGCATGTGCTGATTAATTGGTATTGCAATGAATATCTTTATAGTGAAAATGATTTCTGTCAATAAATCTTTAATAATGAAATATCTTTTTTCTTTATATTTTTGCTTTGCTGCATGGTGTACAGGGCCAATACTGTGCATGGCTCCCACAACAAGTGTTGGTAGGTTTTGAACAAAAATTCTCAATTTATTTTTGTTTTTCTATTGTGTCTAATGAAATTGGTGAGTGACTGAATGCTGTGTTTGGATCTTCTCTAAGAATTCAGTGTTGGGTATTGTGCCTTTGTGGTATCACAGTAGTCATCCTCTCAAATCCTGCAGTTTGCCACTATGGCCAAATACTGAGGCTGCCATTTCTCTATTTTACCGTCAAAACTGTTGCTGAAATATTTGAAACATTTCCTTACCTAGCCAGAATAGACAGTGTTGTTCTTCACTTTAGAGCTTTCACTGAGAAATCATAAGACAGTTTCAGGTGTTTAATTTGTAAAGTATGAAAACATACCTTATCCCCAACCCCTCAAAAAAGTTATCTGTAACATCTAAGATAATTTTGAGAAAGGAGGAGTTAAACAAAGCTACAAACATTCTGTTGTGTCATGATGGAAACCACGGAGTTCAGGATAATGTGATGTCTACAGCAGAACCAGGCCCAGCCGAAACGTTTTAGAATGACTCTTTGGCAGCATTTGACTTTTCAATAAATGCTCTAGTGTGGAAAATATTATTTAGTGAAAGTAACATGTGCTTTAATAATTTATAAAACTTTATTAATGAAATAAAACTAACTAAACACATACTATTGGACACCATTTACACATATATCATTTAGCCACCAGTATAATGTGGTAATCATTGTGAAGTTATTTTGTATGTCACTAATACTGAGAAGAACACTAGAAATTGGCATGTTTCCCCTTTAAGAGCATTTCCGGAGCTCCAGGGAATAGGGCCAAGAACAGATGAGAGGAAATGGTTTCTGCCCTCCCTCTCATCTCGTATCCTATCAGTTCCTTTCCTCCTTGAGACTTTGCACCAGTTTGACCTTTACACACCTTGGTCAACAACGTAGATACAAAATCCCCCCAAATGACTAACAGGTTTATTTGGATAAAACAAAAGGTAAAAATGATTAGCACTTAGCATCAGCACTTTATCTGCATAGCAGGGTTTGACCCTGGTATTGGAATAAACGCCTCTGTTACTGAGAGATTAGCTGTCTCCTGTAGGAATGAAAGTGTTTCCCTTGATACTGTCAGGAGCATTGCAAGTATATGATTTAGGAGAACAGACACCTTCACGTTTGTGAAGTGTGTCTCTGTCTTTAGTTTTGTAAGATGGGCTCCTTGTGCCCCCATTTAAGAGCTCTGCATAGAATTGCAAACTGTGTTTCAGTGGTGCTGCATGCTAGACCATTGCTGTACTCCCAGAAGGATAAAAAGTGGTTTTAGAATTTGTATGCAATACTGTAAGAGGTGTAATGGGTATATCTCTAGAATAAGCACAAAAGACTACAGAGTTCCTGTTAATCACCATGAGGGGTCCAATAGTAGCTTCTTTGACGTTGCGACTTGTTTCCTCCTCCCTGGCCTTCACCTTCTTTGTAGGCTTTCAGAAAAATTTGAATTCAGCCAGTGTAAACATAAATTATTGTACGCATCCTTGTCATCAGGCATTGCCATTCACACTTTTCATTCCTTGCTTTGCTTTCCAAAATGAGTCAGGAAGGAGAAAGGGATTCAAAAAGTGATCACAATGAGACAGAAACTAGAAAAAGGCAAAGAAGTGCATGCTGAAAGAGATGCTGCAGCTGCTCACATTGTGGCTGTAATAATTGCTATGAAGACAAGACTTTGTTGGATATTCACTGTGCAGTCCCCCATGTATGTGTTTGATAAATAGCCAAAATTTCCAAGAGCCTGCATTCATAGTCCAGTGTATTCTTACTATCTGCACCCCTATCAGATACCAATTCAACTCCTTTCTTGCATACAAATCAGGTAAGTGTATATATAACTGTCCCTTTCCACCTGAAAATCGAGTGACAGCACTCACTTCTGTCAGTTGGCCCAAACACCATTTCACGATTCCCTAAACCCACTTCAAATAAGCAGCTCAGCAACTTCTCTGCTAGATTAGCTCATCATATCAATACATAAGGTTTTGTGTGCACCTGTTGTTATCTCTTCTGAAAATGGAAACTTTTTGTGCTGAAAAAAAGACAACTAAATTTTGAAAGAGATTCTGTTTTCTTTAATGGTAACTATAATTCGATTTCCCCTTTTCTCTCTTTAAATTTTACCTCCTTCCATGCTGTGTTGCTTTGCACTGACTGTGATTGCATGTTGCACCCTGGTGTATTCATCATGATGATGTCATATGGCTTGTTGCTGTGATAACTACCACGCTCCATTCCGCCCGTCGTTTATATTATGATCACATAAATGCTCCATCCTCCTATGTGTTGCTTCTGTGGTTTCCTACTGAAAGTGCCCATGATGCACGGTGCTACACCTTCCACTGTGTCTGCAGCAACATCTGCCACCAGCGTTCCCTTCGCTGCAACAACTCCAAGCAATCAGGTTTGGCCGTTTATTTCACCTGTTAGATAACTAGAGCGTGTTGGTAAGACACAGTAGATGCTTTTGGATTGGTGAGAAACATTGGTCTGTTTCTCTTGGTGTGCTGAGTATACAGTTGATACTACCATGCCAATCCTCAAATGCATATACCAATCATTTCTTTTAAAGTTTCTTCACTAGAGAAGAGGATAATCTTGTGTTATCTTACTGTTGTTTTTGGATGTTGTGTTTTATCTTCCACTTAGTATAATGATCATATTTACCTTTAGAGCCACCGGAAAGAAAGCAAAATAACACATTTCTTTCCAAGGCACAAATAACCCTATCATTACCCAGTAATTAAATCTGAAATCCCTTCTCATGCTGACATTACATGTGCTTGAATTGTTTTTATTTGTTTTTCTTTTCATTTGCATTAGTTATTTACAGGCAGATTATAAATTTACAAGATGAATTGTAAATTTTTGACAGATCTTGAAATCGTAAGGAAATGATATAATTGTGCAATATCATGGCTGGCTTGCCTTAAGAAGATAGTAAATGTTTAAATATGGCAAGTTCCACTGCTATTTCAGTTTGCAAGTATGATGACCATTAAACTTATTAGGGAAACAAAATATACTCTGATCTATGCTTTACAAAATTAGCTACTAGGGGATATGGTTAATAGATCTAAATTTTTCTTGGAAATTGATAATTATTAATTTCTGTGCCCAAACAGTGAACAAATCAAATGCAATTCTCTAGAAACTATTTTAATCTAAAATCTTTTTTTACTACTATAGATACCCCAATTATCAATAGATGAACTGAATAGCAGCATGTTTGTTTCACAGATGTAGAAGTTACCAATAGAACAGTAAGTTTCTTTAAGTATTAATATAAGTACAATCTCCAGGCTATATCCTTTTTCTGAACAATTGCTTTTGCTTAAGGTGTGAAAAAATATTTCATTCATAGATATTTCTTATAACTTAGGGCATGTTTAAGTATTCGAAGATTTCCCAACTGAAATGTGGAAAGCAAATACTTTTTGTGGAAAGTCCAGTTTTGTATATGGGAGTCACAGCAGACACTGTGTTCCCGAAGAGTTTTACACAGTCTGTGTCTGCCTGATATTAAAGTGGCGCAGATCTCTGTTGAATTTTAATTCTTTTAATGTTTTATTTTGCTTGGGTTTCGTTAAAGTAAGATAAGCCATTTTTGGTCACAATTTTGTTGAGATGATTTACTCAAAGACAGAAAAATAATGTGCTTTCCCTCTAGCATCATAGAAAATAGTGCTTTTGTAGAGTCTGCCATTTTGTTGCTTTCTATGTAAGTTCATCAGAATTGCTTTGATGCTTTAGAGTTTTGAGTGACATAACAATCATTTGCATTAATCATTTTCATTCAAATCATGGTTTTTGAAAATAATTTTTGGTTTTGGATTTCTGTATTGCTCTTAATCCCCATTGCCTGCCTCAGAGACTAGAACAGTATACACTTAATTAGAATTACTCATTTGGAACATAGCACTTCGGGGGCTGGGGATTTGGGGCCTCATTTGGTGGTGCTCATGTACTACTCCTGGTTCTCTGCTCAGAGATCACTTCTGGTGGTGCTCTGGAGACCATCAGTGATGCTGGGAATCAAACTCGGGTTGGCTGTGTGCAAGACAAACATTTATTTTTATCCACCATACTCTCTGTCTAGCCCCATATGCCACTTTTGAAGTTACTAAAGACTTCTAGGTGTCTCAGTTAGCTAAAGGGATTTATTATTGAACAACTACACCAATTCTGGCTGCATACATTACTCACGGAAAGTTTGAAATCACCACACTGGAATGTTTCCTTTTGGCCAAGGAGGACACAATTTCATTTCTAATACTCTGTGCTAGTATTTTTCTCCTACTGAAGCCCACACACACCCAGAAAAAAATGAACTATTGTGGGAAAAGTATTATATATATATATATTTGATTATACTTTAAACATAAACAGGTCTCTTCAACTATAAGGAATGTTTTTTATTTTTTATTTATTTTTAATTTTTATTAACGAAACACCATGAGGTACAGTTGTAGACTTACAATTTTTTGTGCTTGGGTTTCAGTTATACAATGATCGAGTACCCATTCCTCCACCAGTGCCCATTTTCCACCACCACTGATCCCAGTATCTCTCCCACCCCCTATCCCCCCATCCCACCCTGCCTCTGTGGCAAGGCATAAGAAATGTTTTTTTAAAAGACAACTTTTTCAAACATGAAATTCAATAGTCAATCCATGATTAGCTAACTGTAATAGTTATTGCTATTGCTTATAGTTGTTACTATAATAGTTTTCATGGTTATCATTTGGGATAGTGGCAACTTGGGAGGTAGCACTGAAAATTATAACTTTTTTTGGTAAACAAGTATCTGGTTCTTAGGAGTGATTTCACATCAGAATGAACAAAAATTGCCAAATATAAATAGCTTTCTGACAGAACATGTTTGGGAATAAAGTTCCGAACAGAATTTTGTAAATCTCATACACTTAGATTTCACATTGAGCTTATTTCTGATACATATAGTGTTGAAGGAAGTAGACGAATGGATGAGTTTTTGTCAAAAAGTTTTGGAATTGTGCAGATAACGCCTTAAATCACTGAGTGCCGCTCTGTTAACTTCGAGATGTTATCCACATTAGCAGTCAATTGATTTTTATGGTTTATGACTCTTTGTCATTTCCAAAAGCCCCTTATTCTTAGATACAGAATATGAAACTCAGAATGGGGAATATCTTGGCGTAGTTCACACATAGAACTGGAACCAGACCCACATATCCTGAGTCTTATTTAAATAATCTCTAATATTTTTCCACTCTGTTTTTTTTTTTACATTTCAGCTCAAATTCTGACCAGTACACCTGTGGCGTATCAGAATCGCTCTGCGAGAAGCTTGGTTCGGCCTCTCCACGTATTTTCTCGTATGTCTACTTCTGGCAACACCATTAGTGCAGTGCACACAATATATTAAATAAAACAAGCATACGAGCTAACAAATTCAAACAAAAAATAAAGCGGAATTGTCATAAGTTCTTATTTGAAATTATTAGGTAGATTGTGACCATACAATTTTGTGATTTGTTAACATTCTTTGTTGTGATTTTCCAATAACCATTATCTTAAGTGAATAACAGTTTAATATTTGTTTACATATATCCTTAGTGGATAAGTAGTCATCTGTTTTCAAAGTGTTAACTTGCTATTTTGTTTACATGGTAGTCTATTGGGTTGATTTAGAATGTAACAAATACATCCAGTACCCTTTCCTCATTATTGTATCGTGGTGTATTGTATTAGGGTTTAACATACTATAGTAGTTTGTTGTATATTTGTGGTGTTTGATTTCAACTAAAATGTTGTTAACAGAAAATATAAGTACATGTGCTTGAAAGATGGCAGGTTAACGTTAATGTACTCTCTCTAGAATAATTCTGTAGGAGAAAACTTTTTAATAGTCTCACTTTTGCGTGGGCACAAAACCTGTTCTTAAAGTATATAATTTTAATCTGCAGATAAGACCTTGCATAATTATATCACACTACTATATTTTTGTGTGAGTGAAACAATTACTTACAAAAAAACAGGAAACTTCTTTAAATAGCAGCCCATATTTTCACTCCTCTTAAGTCATTGGAAAAACAAGAATTTGCCTTTAAATGAATATCTCAGCATTTATACTAAACTTTGTAAAGTGCCCATTACATTTTGTGTGAGTTTATAACTCCCGGATCCTATTTCCTGGGTTGAGTATCTAAACCGAAGGCATTTGTCATCTTCATCTGAGAATTAGTACTTGAACATTTAAAGGCATGCTAATTACAGGTTATAAATTAAACCAGGAGATGAGGACATAGAGATTGCTTTTGCCTGTTGGAGGAAAGTGTAAAAACCATTGCTATTGTCACCTTTTACACAAATGCCATTTTCTAAAAGTAAATGGCTCCTACTCTTTAGACTGCTTTTTGAATAATAAGTAAGATGCAATCTTGCAAAAGCCAATGAGGGTAAAAGAGAAAAAAAAGAGAATTGATCTCAAGTTAGGTCTTTTCTCCTCAGATGGAAAATCTTTTCCTTCCTTACTTCTTTCCTTCCTTCCTTCCTTCTTCCCTCCCTCTCTCCCTCCCTCCCTTCCTCCTTCCCTCCCTCCTTTCATTCCTTCTTCCTCTTTCTTTTTCTTTCTTTCTTTCTTTCATTCTTTCTTTCTTTCATTCATTCTTTCTTTCTCTCTCTCTCTCTTCTCTCTTCTTTCTTTCTTTCTTTCTTTCTTTCTTTCTTTCTTTCTTTCTTTCTTTCTTTCTTTCTTCTTCCTTCCCCTTCCTTCCTTCCTTCCTTCCTTCCTTCCTTCCTTCCTTCCTTCCTTCCTTCCTTCCTTCCTCTATTTCTCTGAGTACAGTTTTGGAGAAATAGCGAGCAAGGAAGGCATGGGGAGAGATGTAAAAGTATTCTTTGATTTATTCAGAAGTTCTGGGAGGGATATCTACATTCTGTGTTTAACTTCGGTTCAACTGACTTTCCAGTTTTGCTCAACACTTCAGGGAAGGAGATATAGCACTGATGATATATCAGTTTTTGCCCTTTCCCAACCTTCATGAACATCCTCTCATGCCACTAAGTACATATCTTTTTGTGTGTTTGGTTGGATTTAAGAAATATGTGTTTAAAAGCACAACAGAAATGTTTTAGCATCCCTTGGGGAACACAGAGTGGCTTTACTACCCAAAACTATATAATTCACATTGCTATTCCTTATTAAATAATTTTATAAATAAGTAAAACAATAAGTAGTTCCTGTGGTATCTAGTGTACCATTTCTGTTCCGTTATTATGGTTGTAGTACTTACACGGTGGTTAAACCACATGACAATGTGCATCAACGAAGATAGACTGTTTCCTATGACATATATGGTCTCTCACTTTTAGAGAGGATAAAATTCAGCAAATTTCAAGTGTATATAAGCATATCAATATTCTATTTCAAAGTGATGTATTTGTTATGGTTATTAAAGGGGAGCTCTCCCTCATGAAAATGAAAAGCAAAGAGAGAATATGATTCAAGATATCTTAAGATAGTAATGTGTGAATCACAGAACAATGATGTTGACAAAACCATTTCCCTGTTGATAAAACAGAAGTCCCTACCCATCCAAGCTGGGGAGCATGGGACTTGCCTAACTTAGTTACTTGGTGACAGTCAGACCCAGAAACAGCCAATGCTCAGTTGTTCCAGTGTTTCACCTGCTTCAAAATATTTCAGACTCCATCCTTTCAAAGAGGTTTATTTTGGCTCAGAATACAAAATAGCAAAATTAACTCTTTGGTAATTGATATCCTATTGATGTTATTCATCAATCTGAATCCTGATCATCAGCAATATGTAAATGGTCATTCTATGGAGCCATTATTATCTGTTAACAGTATTTCCTGGAACTAGAAAACAAAAGGTGTACTGAGTTTTACCTGTTGACTCCCTTAGCCATTTGTTTCCTCAGATCTTCATGTGGTTAGGGAAGAAAATAGAGAGTGAAATCTATGTGTGAAACTGAGCTTTTCATGACCCGTGCCAGTGCCCTGCAGAAGGGCAGATTTGATCGCATAACTCCTGCAAGCATACTCCTGAGTTCACTTAGAAGTATTTGTTAAAGGAGAGAGAGATTTCGGAGCAAAACAAACATTACATGTTTGTAATTCTACATTTTGATGCAATATACTGTCTCATTAAACTTTCAAAACTTATGATAATGAAGATGTTCATATAAAGTAAACTCAGTACAGCCATTTTTGTGTTGATTTAGGCACTGGGAGATATTAGTGAGTAATATTCAGGGTAGTTGTATTCCTGGTGCCACGAGTTTTGATATTGTTGGCATTTTGAAAGTTGTTTTGTAAATAAACTTTAAGAAGACCAGAGAACTAAAGTTTTGATCAGATACAAACAAAATTTTGACATGCATGCAATTTTAAGAGAGTACTCTTTAGATGTGCAATGATTTATTTGATTATCTTTATTTGAGAAAAGAAAATAAGATTTTTACTACAAATTTCCAGGTAAAAAGACAAGTCACGGAACTAATCAGTGACTCTAAATAATGATTTACTAGATGAAATGTTTGTGTAAAAATTATAACCACTTGCAATTCTTAGCATAATCTTTGCATTTTACAGTGGCCTCTTCTTGTTTATCAATAACTGGTACTTTTGTCCAGTTCTCTCATTTTTCAAAATTAAGCAAGAATACCGATACTTAGATTAAATAGGTCACATACATAGAGAAAATACTCTTAAAACTTACCTTTTAAAGTTTTATTCGTTTCAGTTTTTGTTAAAAAGCACTATGTGACCACAATTTAAATGCAATCTAAAGGGGATTAATATTAAATTAAAATTAAATGGATTCATAAAACTTCTATTTTAATACAGTATTTGCTTTCACAATTGGAGCATGAGTCCACAGTCACCTGTTGCATTTCATTTAACTGTTTCTAGATGTTTAACTTGTAGTTCATTGTAATACAGAAAACCATCTTTTCTCTACTCCATCAATTTCCTTCTACTATTCAACATACTAAAAGCACTTTTAATCTTGCCATTAAGTGTTGTCCTGATCCACTAGGAAACCTTAACTTAACCAGCTCTTCAATTTGAGAAAAATAATTACCTGCTACCTATCATCAGTAGGAAGTGCCTGAAATTAATCTTAGAATTTGGATCTGTGTTTTTAATGACACAACCAGTAAACATAATGATGTCTGATGAAAGGAGCAACATTGACATTATATTTTATTAAAAACTTTGAAGGGGAAGTTTATGTGCTATTTGGAATGTGATTCCTTTCCTTTGTCCCCTCTTTTGGACATTGTAAATGAAGGTGCTCTTAATTAAAAGGCAACCACAAAATTTCCCAATTTTTTTCAGTCCATAAGATAAGTTCTGGTATACTAGAAACTGGAATTTCTTCCTTCCTTCTTACTTTCCTCCCTTCCTCCCTTCCTCCCTCCCTCCCTCCCTCTCTCCCTCCCTTCTCTGTGTTTGTTACAAATAGAATAAGAGAATAAAATTGAGAGAAATAAAATTTCCCAGTTTTGCTCAATAGATTTAAGGAGATAATGGCCTAATTTTACCAGTGCTTATGAAAGGCAACAGTTCTACAATATGTAATAGCATTTAACAACTTTCTTGTAAGTTCAATTGCTAGTCTGATCAAACAAATCAAATTACAAATACAAGTTCTGAGCACCAACTCACTAATTGGTGCCTTGTTTTTATTTTTTTAGTTTTTAAAGTTTTACTATATTTTTCATCTTTTAGTAAGTAGTGAATTTAATTTTGAAGGAGAGTTAGAGAATGTTTTAAGATTTTACTTTCTGTACTCAACCCACTTAGATAGGTTCTAAACTAACACTGAAGTGTAACAAGATTTTAATAGTCCATAACTATTCTTTGCAGTTAGCAGTTTAAGAACAAACTTAATTTTATATACAAATGATAATCTTTAATTATATTTAGTTGTTGCTTTAGCAACAGAACAACATGGCTACCTTGAGACACTTTTGTATGTGTGAAAATTTACATGTAAACTAAGCATGGTTTTTGACAGTACAATCAATGTAGAAAGACTCACTCAGCAGATAGGCTTGATTTTTCTTACAATCCCAAACTCCTGTGTGTGAGTTGAATTTTTGTCCCGTGTGACTTTTTAAGCAAAACGTTTACAACACATGAATTCTAGAGTTAGGCTTTTTTATATCTTATAAAATTTTCTGTGTGGATAAGGTTATTCTGCAGTATATTTGAGACTTTAAAATGCAACCATCTCATTGATACTCCATTTCCTGACGTATCCACCACTGCCACCACCATGTTTTCAAATACAGCTGTACCTCCAAAATTCTTTTCTCTGGAATTACATGCACAGATATTTCCAAGTGAAGATTAAGGAATGGATTTTACAAATTCTTTCAAAACCATGCATAAGATACTGTGGAATGACCCCTTAACAGTGTTTAAGAGACATATGCTGCAGCTGACTGATAGTCTCAGTTAGGGTGCGAATGTGTGAGACACCTTTTTTGCACTTATGTACATAGTCCATGGTGATAGCAGTCCTTGGAGCTTTTTTAGTGTAATAAGTCTGTGATAATAGTGGTAATGTTAGTAAGAGTTCTTTCTAAGCTTTGAGAAGGAGGGAGTTTTTGCCATGACCTAAGCATTTTTTTTGCTTTGCTGTGTGGAGGTTCTCTAGTTTATTGGAGCTTACCAAAAGAAAAGACTTGTGGTAATAGGTAACTGGTCAGTTTCACTTAACAATACTAATCAAGAGTGAAAATACTTCACCTTCTAGCAAAAACACTAGCAAAGATTGCTTCTTAAACTAATCCTCACTCTAAGCACACACAAATACACATGTACACACTAGCCAGACAGATGTCTGGCTAAGGTTTTCTTTTTACCACTGGACACAAGAGACAGTATTTGCATTATGACCAAATTAGCTGTCATCTTTCTCCCTAAGTTATCAGTTGACAGAGATCAGTTATGTCAATAGGTATTTAAGAGAAACCCAATTGTTTGTGCTCACCATCTTTACCCCTTTAAAATCAAGAATCAAAAAACAAATTGGCAACTTTTAAAAGATTTATTTTACCTGTTAAATTTGGCCAATTTGGGTCATTTGATTCCCTTTCCCAGAGGAAAAAAAATGCTTCTAACACAACCTTATAAAACGTATTTATTTACCTCATGCCTATTAAGCAAAAGCTGTTTTCTGACTTACCTTACCACAGAGTAAGTGCTTCGCTATGCCATTTCAGTCTCCCACAGTTAACTAAACAAATGAGAACCAGTCCGTATACACATATGAGGACTGGAAAAAATGTTTTGGTCAGGCTGTTGTTAGATCATCTCTGCCAATTTCATCTCCATGTCACTTACAGATCACCATTTTATTGTCTCCTTTTATTGTCTCAGACAGTGAGACCTTGGCAAAGTTTAAAGTTTAAGAATAGATCACAAAAGATAACTGAAATTTGTGATATCTTGGGATGTCCACCCTTTCCCTG